AGAGACAGGAGTCCTCCCCTGAGGAGAAAACAGCAGCAGACTGACCACCACCCCATCCCCTGCCCCTGCACCGTGTGGGCAAGGAGGTAGAGAAGCAAGTTTGAAGCAGGACTTACCGGTAAGCAAAGTGAGCTTGGCCATCTTTGACCAGGACTGAGCTGGTGCAGACCGTTTCCCGCTTTTATACGCTCCTCTCATTTCATGCCAGTCATGTGTCCACAAATGTTACGAAATTTGGTAAATATCTGTATCACCAAAAAACGATACCTGTACAATGGGCCTTAACACTCCAGCTGGAGACACCACTGTTATCAGGCTGTGCCATGTCGTGGTGCTGAGAGGTAGTTGGAGAACAAGATTAGATGGCTTTATTCTCAGAAATGTTGTTGACAGCGACAGGCGTTGTGTCAACACTGGCGATTAGGCAGCGATAGATGGCTGAAGTGTTCAACCTTGCGCTGTCATTGTGCCTGCCCAGCGGGGGTAGGCACTGCCACACCAGAGGTGGTTTGCAAGGGTTTGGTCTCCTTGGCTGGGGCGGGCGGCGAGGCAGGACTGAGTAGGGACTGGGCTCACGGCAGTGGGACACAGGGACTGGGCTCACTTGCTGTAGGCAAATGGTTATCTGGGATCCAGGGGGCTTTGTGGTCACAGTCCTCCCTTGACCACACCATCGGAGCTTGTTGTCTCTTCAGGGAATTGAAGAGGGTTTCCTCGTGTTCCATCGTTTAAGGAAAAACAAGACACTTCTACTGAGTCGTTGTCCCACTTGTATATATAGTTTTCATCAGGCAGAACCATTATTTCTTGGAGGTCAAGCTCTACAAGAGATAGCCCGGGGACAGACCATCATTCTGGCCGCGTTTCCTTCCACAGGAGTTATACACATACTCGCTATCTTTTTCCCAAACTGAGAGCTCTGTGTTTCCAAGCATTCATGTCTTGCCTTAGTGTCTGTGAAGATCCATAGGGAGAAATTACCCAAATCTCTTTATTCTAGATCAGCTTGTCTCATCTGGATACTTTCGGGATGTAGTGTCTTTCATCACAGCATATTTGAATGGAATTTTTAAAAAGGCAGTTAAACGTGCTGAAAATAATGTTTTTAACCCAGAAGATTCTGTCTGCACACCGGGGGCTACCGCAAGTGGTGAAGAAAGAGACAGTGTGGACTTGGTCAGTTCCTCGGCACTGACTTGTTCTTTAATTCCTGTTAAGATGATGTGAAGGTGAATTTCCAGTAAGTCACTCAGACTTGGTTGAATGAGAGCCTGGAAGAGCCCTCAAAGTTGTCCATAACACGTGCTGACACTGAAGCCACTGACCTGCCGGTAAAGTTTTTTAGATTTCTTTATCTGGTGTATGGATGAAACATGATGGATGATGAAGATTTGTCAGTCGGGCACGGCGCTTGCACAGCCTTGCCGCCATCTCCTGGGAGATGTGTCTGACCACTGACTCTCAGCAAACTCCCTAAAAAGTGCTGTTTTCCCCAAAGGCCTTAGCCAGGCTGGCCCTGCCACCCTCGGTCTACACGAGCCGTTGCTCTAGAGCGGTTGTTTGTTCTCCCTGCCCTTGCTGTGGAGATTGGGCACGTCCCTGTGGAAGGCTCAGCCGGGGAGAAATGTAAAGGTGAATGCGATGGAGCCGTGTGTTTTGGAGAGCCCTGTCCCAGCCCTTCTCTGGATGAAGAGGCCCAGGGTTTGGGTCTCCTGGCACAGGCAGATGGGAGCTGAGAGCCGATCCGGGTGTTTGTGCTGAGGGCAGCTCACGGCAGCCGAGGTTCACGTTAGGTAGAAGGGCCCTTGGCGAGGTACACGCAAGATCCGGCTTTGGATTTCCATGTGAAGTGAGGCTGCAAAGATGCTGAAATGCATTCTGGATTTCTTTTTTGGATGTGAGAATCTAGGGGATTTTGCCCGTAAAATCCTGGGGAGAGCTATGACTGTTTTGTGCTGCTGATCTGATGTTCCTCACTGCAGGCAGACAGCTGATTGCCGCCACGGAGACAATCTGTTGCCAGTGTGTTTTTAGTTAGTGTGAAGTGGTGTTCTTGGAAATTCCTTGGGAATTTTCCTATGGGAATTTACCCCAGATGCATATATGTACAGCTCATGTTGGGAGCAGCAGGGAGAAGCAATATTTCTTGGAGTTACATAGATTACCACAGGGGCAAGTACGGACATTGCTACCTTCCATGTTGTCAGACTTTGTTCTCTTTAATGGTGGTTACTTTTTTAACTCCGGAGCCCTTTTCTCTCTTTTCACAAATTGTTAATATGAACAATAAGAAGCTATTCAGAATTGTGGAAAGTCCATCGAAGCTAATTTACTAAGTTTCTGAGGAGGAAAAGGGTAGCGTTTGGATGGAAGATGTAGAAGTAAGCTCTTTCTTCCGGCTTGATAAAGTTTTCCTTCATCTCTTACGAGAGTCATTTCATCCTGTGCTTAGATTCTCTTTAATGGGCTGGAAAAAAACAATTGTGCATGATGAAAATAATGATAAAGTTTTTAGTGTGAAGCACTTTAAGGGTGCTAAATATGATCTGGCGCTATGGTAAAAGGTGATAAACCCTTTCTTTCAAACCTGTGCTCCATACTTGGCTGGGTAGTGCTTTCTGATATTCTCTGAGAGGCATTAGTTTTCAGCTCTTTCCTTTTTATCAGCTAACCTCATAAAAAACACTCCCCCAAAAATCATCTAATCCCATTAATTAAACGAAGGAAGAAATTGCATTAAAGGAAGAAGTTTCCCTGCACATTCGGCTTCTTGGTTTGCGATTAAGTTCGCCTTGAAGCAACTGCAGGAGGCAAAATAAAAGCAAAATAAAAGTATTAGCATAGAATTTTAACTCAGCATCTTCCTCCTGCTTCACAAGAAAGAATCTTGCAGTCTGGGGCTGGGTACTCTCAGCAATTAAAATATCCAACAGTAGGTGTCAATGTTGCTTGCTCTTCCCAGCCTTGCAGATGGGGTGCTTTGCTGGCAGTGCTCTGATACCATGCCAAGAAGAAATGTGCTTGCAGGCCAGAAAGCTTTAGTTGCTGCTGCTCTTTGTTTAAACACAAATAGAGTTCAAAGATTAACAGGACTTTTTTTTTTTTTTCACTTTCAAATAGAAACGGAACGTTTTTTTCTCGCTATAGAAAAATAACAAGGATAAAGGGTAAACTTTGTTCAGTTTATTTCTTTAGTGCTGTTTAACCTACATAAGACATGACTATCTTAGAATGAAAGAGGGACTATTAAAGACATCTGTCCAAAACCAGCCTAAACTGTAACATGTCAGGATGCCTATTAAGACATTAGTCATTTTGTTGATATGCCCAGGAACTGCATCCCCTATAGAAGAGCATCCCAGTGCCTTGGCAGGGTACTGATAAATCTACGGGGTTTGCTGTCTCAAATATTTAAGTTACCTGCTTATATCTCTAACAAAGAGTTTAGGTTCACCTTCTGTCTCTTACGCCTTTCCTTACCAGCATAGAAAATATTTATTGCAGGGGAAAATGGGCTTGAGTAGTCAGTTTAAAGATAGAAACTTAATTTCCCTGGGTCCATGTAGTGTGTGTACTCTGCAATACGACTAGTTTTATTCAAGTGGCTTTAGGTGAAGCAGGCCTAAATTGTGTGTGGTCTTGGCATATGTCCCTTATTAATCTGCTAGAAAAAGGAGATTTTGAACTCTCTCTGATGTGTTTATGGTTTCCAAACCTTTCCTTTCTACTGGGCACTTTTGTGCTGTGGAGCAAACCCTGGGTTTCACACTGGCAAAACATAAAACAAAGCAGTCACACCAGATTATTCACTCCAGTGATAAATGTTACATCCTGACAGCAGTTCAGCAGGTTCTCCTAACAACTGCCTGGTTTTGCTCAAAGCTCTATAGACTTGATAAGCATTTTATCAGGAAGATCAGAGCAATCTTATCTACTCATTCCTGGCAAACTACTTCTAAATGCAGCCATCTCCATCCTGGACATAGTAAGCAGCTTCAGACTCCCCAGTGCCTGATCCTTCCGGAGTTCAGCTCATGGCTCCAGGGCCTGTAGAAGAGAATGTACTTCCCATGCCAGCAGATGTCAATGGCCTATACCATGGCCCTGCCCAAACTGTACTGTGTCAATTTGGGAGCAGCAAAAAGCAAGCAGAACAAAATCAACAACCTCTTTGTACATAAATGCCTGAAGCAAGAAGTAACCCTTTATTTCCACTTTGCTAAAAGTGAGAGAGCTTTTGTGCCATGATCAGGACAGCTTGACTCAATGGTGGTTTTCTTTCTTAGCCCTTACCTTGCCACCTTGGCAAAAGTTTACTTGCTTGACTTGGCTTAAAATGGGAGGAATAGCAACAAATCACTGACTACTACTTTGAGTTGTGTTGCTTCCAATGCCCAGTCTAGGAGGTGTTAGGACATAACCTGTTCTGCCTTTGGTTTCTGCTTTAGACAGGGAAATGGTAGAGTCTCTTCCTTTCAAAAGCTGGGTGAAAGGTATCAGGAGTCTGGTCATCCTGGGCCTAAGGGAATGACTGGGAACATCTTTACCTCAGCTTTAACGTTCTGCATATCCTGATGCTGGAGCTGAGCTGGAGGCAGGGGAAGGAATAGACTCTGCAAGCTGAAACTTGATTAGAGATGCATGGAGCATGTTTAAAGAGACTTATCTGGGTCTCCTGTCAAGAGCTTTGGTGACATTGCTGGTCTCTCGATGACTTAACTGCTTTTAATAGCTGAGCTCTATTTGGGGGTGCTGACCTTCTTGGAAAACTGTCCCACTCTCTTCAGGAGTTTGACAGATAATTAAGAAAATATGGCTGCAGTGTCAGTGGCCAAACATGTGAAAATCTGGCTCTGCATCCAGCTGCGTATGTATATACTTGCTTAAATTACTG